AATTACATGAGAAGTTTGCAAATCATACAAATTGATTCAACATTTTGACTAGTTTTTTTAAAAAGAAATTAAGTATATATATGAGGTAGAAATAAGTTGGTTAAAATTGTGAAAAATATTTTAAATTATTGTAATAAAATGTGTATGTTGGTAGCGAGTAAGGAGTAAGTAACTCGATGCGCTGTCCCGAACAACGCGCAATCCAATCCGCTCGCAACCCGCCCGACCCGAAACCCGATGAACTTGCAACCCGATTTGCCCGCAACCCGATTGAATTCAAACTCGATGAACCTACAACCCGATTGAACCCGAACCTAGTTGAACACAAACCGATGGACCCGCAAACTAACGAACCTGAAACCCGACTAAACCCGCAAGCCGATTGAACCCGAACCGAACCCGCCCAATTGACACCTATACTCTTCTCTCTCTCTAAAATCAGAAATTATGCTCTCAAAATCAGTTTCTCTCAAGGGGGGAATGGGGTCTCCTATTTATAGGAAATTAGAGGACGGACAAGTTCGCGGCAGAAGGGCAGAGATCGCGAGCGGGATCTTTAGACGAGGCCGCGATCCTGACACGTAGTCGTACTAGCCTTCAGGATTGACGAGGCCGCGTGCTGACTTTGCGGTCGTGATCCGCGAGTCACGGCCGCGGTCTTTGCGGTCAGAATGCACTGTGGACGTGATTCGACTAGGGAAACACTTTGTTTCTCCTCGAACCCTTCTTCGCAAAGTTAACGCCCTGAGCCCACCAATTCGCGACCGTGATCTTTGGCTTCCAGGCCGCGATCTTCAGCTTGTCTTTGCGGAAAAGGATCTCGGCCGTAATCTTTACTTCTAGGCCATGATCTTCATTCTTTTCCCCCTTGCTACACTTGTGATCTTGTTTTGTACCTGATTCAGATATATTGTCTAACAGACTAACACACCCTAAAATCACATCGAATTCAAATAGGAACGGAATAGGGATTCAATTGATGATGTTTAAGCATTTATGCACATTAATTGATACGAAACCAACCTCAATATTAAGGGTAAATAACAGTGTTATCAACCCCTTTCTCACGGGAGAGTCTTTGCCTTTTTTCATGCCCCAACCATACCCCATGGTCGTTATTTCTTCAAATAACTCGGTCATTAGTGGGGTTGTCTTGTTAAGCATGTTTCCTTACACAAGTAATCGATGAGCATACAGTCCTCTTAGAATTGACTGTTATAGAATGTACCAATCTTGAAGTCTCTATTGAATCTTTTGCGAGGACATTGAAGAAAGAGCTCGGTGTACCGCACCCAGGCATTTCTTAAGGTTTCATCCTCCTTTTGAGCAAAGTGGGTAATTTGTCTTCGGAAATAAGCCATCTTCGATGGCGGGAAGTATCTTGCCATGAACATTGTGACAAATCATCCCAAGAGACAATGGAGAGAGGGGGTGGTTGTGGAGCAACTTTGTGCCTTGCCATTGAGGGTGTAGCGAAATAACCTCAACTGAAAAATCTTCTTAAGGCACACCATTCATTTGGATGCCATCAGTTAGCTAGTAGAACTGGTTGATATGCTCTCTTGGTGACTTGTTGTCGAGGCCATGAAAATGAATGTTGCTTTAGATTGTTGAGATTAGTCTGGTCTTGATCTGAAATTGTTTGCCACCATGGTGGGATGCTTAGTTTGATATCCTTCGCCCGTGGGGTCATATAATACCCCATGGTCCTCTTCAGCTACTTCTTCTTCTTCTTTGGACTCCTCTTATTTGGGTTGAGCAGGAACCACAAGTCTCTTCGTGGATCGCCTTAACTCCATCCTACGAGCAAGTAGCCGGAGAGTCCAATTTATGTTGTTGTCTAATACATCAAGTGGTCCGGGTTGCTCCGGGTCATACACCCCACTTCAAACAACACAAATATGGAGAACAAAAGCAAGGTCCAACACAAAATGCAAGAAAATAAAAGCTATATTAACAATATATCACTTTTTCTGATAATAGACCATTTTCCCCGACAATGGCGCCAGAAAGCGTGGCTCACTACTAATTATACCTATCCCAATCAAAGGGCAAGTGCAACCTCAATCGGGTGTATTATAGAGAAAGTATTTTCGAATTATCAAACCCAGGCGGTCTATCTACCCTTACTTCAGAAACATAAGCATTATCTAGCGATCAATCTGTTGTTTTAAACTAACAAACTAAACAAGCATGCAAGTAAACTGTAATTGAAGCTTTCCCCCAGTCCAGTGTTAATTCCATATTGTGATACCCTGGCACAATTCACACTTAACATATATTGTAGGAGTTCCAAGCTAGATAGGAGTCTCTATTCAAATTGTCCTATCTTGCCTAATTGTACCCAGAGAGGCGTACTGAACTACCGACCTCGGCAATTGGGGTAACCAAATCCACTCCTTAAATGGGTAAAGACTCAAAATGGCTCTAGGAGTCTAATCATAGTCGTTCGTAGACCTCAAAGAGTTTATTATGCAATTCTCTAAATTGACCCTAAGGAGATATTCTCTCACTTAGGTCAATTAGCCCCAAATTTGGGGAAGTGATGAAGAACCTCCAATCTTCATGAATAATTCACAAATAAATAAATTATGAATCATGTAAATTCAACACATAGGTCTCACAATCATTCAACTACAACATAATAGAGTAGAGTCCTACATCATCGAAGTGACTAGAAGTACTACTCCATGGCTAGAGTAAGAAACACAGCCAAATAGAAGAAAACTATCACAGTGATGAGAAGCTCCTCCTTTCTTGGTTTCTTGGGATGGTCTTGAAGAATGAATCAAAATTTCTTGGGTGTTGGGTAGTTCAAATACTCATTCAATCTCCTCTTGCTTGTCACTTTCTCTATAGATGGAAGAAGATCTCTAATTCTCTCTCAAAAAGCCAATATCCCCTTCAAAATCAACTCTCTCTGATATTTTATACTTGACAGTGCAATCTTCAGTGCCTCCCGTCACGCCCGTGATGTGTGCAGTTGATGAACCCGATATTTCACCATCTACCATCCTATATCCATGTGTAAAAAGATGCCAACAGGTCATCTCATTCCATGATGGAATAATAACCCATCAAATATCTACCTCATGCCCATTCACTAAATACGTAGGAAGCTAGTTGCCTTTTTTATTTGGGTAGGTGGAGGGTTTACTCTCCAAAAAACCCAATATAATTATCATGACTTTTATCCCCTCTCTTACACGTGGTGTAGTCTTTTAAGTTAAGTGATGGCTTCGGTTTCTTTGCCTCATCAAAACACCCCAAAAAATTCAACTTCCTCTTCCACGGGGGACGAAGAGTGGGATGTGGCAAGCTAGCATTTCTCATCAAAGGAAACCCAACTACACATACATCAGCCATGCAATGGTCATTACAGAAATGCATGAGGTGCATGTTTTATAAATTGTGTTTCCTTATAATTATGTCAAGCAACCATTCTCAATAGCCAACTCACTCATACGTGGAAGTGACAAGCAAGGTAAACTTGTTTGTTCTTTCAATTTGTTAGTATTAGTGTTTCCTTTTATTTCACCAAAACCACCAAAATTCATTTTCCTGTATCAATATACAGTGGAAAAGGAGGTGGCAGAATAAGGATTCCCTTATATCGGCCACCACCGAAACCCATTTTCCCTTTGGCTACACGTGGGTCAACATAAAGGAAAGAGTTGTGTTTCTTTGGTCATCAAACAACTTCCCACACTTTATACGTTGCCTAGCGCAATATATATGTTATGCGGGTTTCTTTGTTTCTTGCATAATCTATTACTAAATTGTTGATGAGTGTTTGTTAACCACCCCGAATATCCATTACACATTAAGTTGGTTGAAAGCTAAATAAATTTTTTATATTATTTAATTCTTTATACGCCATCCACACCAGAAGTCGGAGGCACCTATAAATAGGACGTTCATTTATGCTTTCTGGTGAGTTAAAAAAAAACCCGGAATCTCAAACCTAGAGAATTCACTTTCTCGGAACGAGATCAAAAAGGGAGTTGAACTCTAAATCTCTTTTTCTCTCTAGTGTCAGCTTAGTAAGCCGCTTCTAGTCACTCTCCTCCCAAATAATGACTTGAGCTTCGAAGCACGTCCCCGACGAATAATAGCCGACATTAAGAGTGTAAACAATGAATATATTTTGTGGTTTTTTATAATATGAAAACTCATATTGGTTGTATATGAAAATACCGATTGTAGTAGTCGTTATTTTTTTATATATAAAAATCATACAGATATTCTTAATTAATTATATTTATTAAATATTTGTAATATGAAAAGAGAACAGGGTTAGTTTGAAATCCTGCCTCCGCCATTGTCTCCATTATAAGAGAATTTTCTAATGAACCAGAAAAACACCTTCTGAATCTTCCCTTGCTTTCTTGTTTTTTAACTTGAAGCAGTCTTTGATTAGATGCCCCTCTTTCTTGTAGTAGGAACAAATTTTCTTCCCATCTGTGTCCTGACTGACTGATATGCAGGATTCAACCCTTAAAAAAACTTATTAAAAAACCATTCTCCTCGTACCTTTTCAGAGTCTCATATGGTCCAGGATTACAAGGGCTAACATGTATGAGTCTGTATCTCTAGTATCAGAGACGATTTTCATTGTTTTGTACAAAAGGATAGAAAACGGAACCTATTGACACTAATCAGGAGGACGACATTTGTCATCTCCAAAAACTTTTGAGACGAACAACCATTGTTTCGAGGGAAACTTTTTTCGGCTTGTAATATCCACAAACCTTTGATTTTAAATGACAGTCATTTTCCAAGAAATAGAATGGCCCATTATTTCAACAAATCTTACGTACAAACAAATTCAAAACCACGCATATATCAATTAGCTCCAATTAATTCCAGATTTAAATCATCATTCCTCTTTGAGGCCGAAGATAATAGAGATGATGTGATGGTTGCAACAATAATTAACTCACACAGATCGATTAACAAGCTGGTCTCAGGTCCGGATCAAGACACATATTCTTGGCTCACTACACTAGCACAGCTGGATCTCTGGCTCGGCGGCTGCCGCACTGCACCACCTTCTTAAACACGGACCTAACCACTCGTAGCTTCAGCATGCAGAACAAGAAGAGGGCCAACACTGACGACGACCCACTTATGAGGAACAAACCATCGAACCTCTCTAACGTTAGAGGCTTCACAGAATCATCATCCTCATCCTCCACGGGAACATCATGATCTCCTTGTCGGCTGTTGAACCACGCGTCTTGCATCAACTGCAGCTTCCCTTCTTCCCTCAGTTTCGCTATTGCGGCTGACATGTCTCCCACCAACCGCGAACCCTTCCGAAAAGGCTGATTAGTCCTAGCAACTTTTGGATGAGAAAAAAACCGAGAGAAGAACAGTACTGTTTGAAAAAGAAACAACATATATAATATACTTACGAAGCCAAAGCCGTTGGCGTTGGGCAAGACAGTGCCAGCCATGGAGAACTCCTTGGGATGCTTGGCGACGAAGAGCTTGACGAAGGGGAGCATGTCTACGATGGCGGAAACGCCGCCGTGTTTGCTTCCTCTCAACAGGGCATCCTCAAATGCTCGCATCGTATGGTTGACCAGGATCGCATGGGTCGTGTTGTGGCGATGATCACTACTGGCGTTGTACATGGAAGCAACTCCTTGTATCAACGGGCCTGGTTCTAACCCTATGTAACGCGTCTCCTTGGAGCTCAGCTTGTTGATTTGCTGAACGGTCAGCATCGACGTCAGCGTGGCAGTGTAGCTGGCGTTCATTATGAGAACCACAAACAACCATATCACCACCACGAATCTCGACAGGTTGCTCGTCAATCTCTCTCCTGCATGCATTATTCCAACTACGAGTTGAATTATTCACTAGAGATATATTATTTCATCATAAAACATGGTAATTAATCGAAGATACTTAACTGTGAGCATAGAAAAGGGTTGACAAGGAGAACCAAAGGGCCGTTGCAATTTGCTGCGGGATTGAGCCTTGGAATTGAGCGTTGGTTGGGCGCTCTATGACCCAAACCACCAATCCGGTCCATACGAGGAAGACAGCCATTGTCCCCCAGAGAGCGGCCTTGAGTGGCTTGGTGAAAATCCAAGGGGATTTGTCGTCTTGTTTCCCGGTAGTGTGAAATCCACGTAATTGGTTCTGTTGGCTGTGATTGTGATATCAGCTACCGCAGTATCGAACTCCTTTTTAATTTTACAACAATGTTGTTGGTTTGGTACATGCATGCATAATTAGTAACAGTCAACAAAAAAAGCAACACATGCTACATTGCAAGTATACAATTTTAGAACCATATATATATATATATGGATGAGAGTATAAGTATACGATATTTCAAGTACTTGCCATATATATAAGTGACTATAACCCGATCACTTGGAGTATGGTATATTTCGAGAGTATATTAGTGGTTATTATATATATAGTTCATACGAAATATATGCATGTCAGCAATATCCTAACCTCTAATAATAGGTGAATCCTAGACCCTGATTTTCTAAACCCAAACTATAAGGTCAATTTAATAAAAATAATAACGGTAAATTATCATTCACCGAAATAAATTGAAGTTCACCTAGTATGTGTGACTATAAACGTATGTAATATGTTAGGTGTACGCTAGTATTTGCCATATATATAAGTGACTATACTCCTAGAGTATAAGGTATCGGTCGATGGTTTTACTTCGGCAAATCAGAATCATCGAGATTATTATTTTTCATTAGAATTATCTTATAGTTTCAGTTTATAGAATCAGAGGGTGGATTTTTTCAATTAGAAATTAGGGAATAGTATTATACATAAAATCAGTTTAATTTATGGTCTATGTAGAAATATCTCACCTAACATTACTAGGAGTACCATATCGTTCAGGAATCAAGAGTCCAACTCATCATATAGAGTAATGATTGGCATACTCTTGGAATATAGATCCTCCAAGTGATTTCTCGTTGGATGTACTTAAATAAATGATAATTATTGATTAATTTGTTATAATCAAACATAATGCTAATGGTCTCTAGTGGCCATTGGATTGGATCCATGAATTGGTGGATCAATTGATCAAGTGGATTGCATCAAATGTATTAATGTATTGGATTAAGTGGATTGGTGGATTGATCAATTAATCCAAATGACATCCAAGTCTTGTACTAATTTGTAAATTTTGAAAAGTTTGATTACTCAAATATCATAATAAAATATTTTAGGTACCAAAACGTAATTTTCCAATGATATGTTTTGTATAAAAAATAATTTTTGGGCATCAAAATGTAAAATATAAAGAATACAAGTACCAAACCGTAATTTGCTATTTGGATGCATGGATCAATACTTGAATCCACCAATCCAATTGAATTTGGATCAAATGGATTGTATTAGGTGGATATACTGAATTGAATTGATGGATTGAATTGAAATTTCTCACCTCTATTTTGTTATAATACAATTCCTTAAGAAATGAAAATGAAATTTCATTTTTAATTCCCATTTTTATAGCTTTCAGAGAAGCAGTATAATTAATTGTTTAGTTGGACACATTTGTTGAGGAGGATGACAATGATTGGATGCACTCGAATTGAACATAATTCCATTTCCTCTTAATTTGCAAATCTAAGACATGCTCAACATGAGACAAATATAAATGTTGAGCTACTTGTACAATTAAGGATGGTTTGCTCTATGGATTTCCATCCCAAATCCCTTCTATTTTGGACTGGTTTCAAAGTCCATTGTTTGTTAAGTCAATTTTGTGGTAAAATTTGTGAGGTCGCGAACTTTATGGGTTCTGATTCATGGACCACAAAGAATTGCAAACTCCATGGTTGAATGTGGGATTTGGGTGAGTGGCAAAAATTCAATCATACCCATAAATTTAATCAACCAAAATCTATAGTAAAATCAAATAAGCAAACAATAAACTCTTTCAAATCTATAATACCAATAAATAATCCATCATAAATTTATGGGTCGTTTGCAAGTCCATCACCAAATCCATCAACATAACCTTGAAGCAAACGACCCGTTTAGAGTTTCCAAAATCCAAGTCTTACTAAAATCTTGATTTTTCAAATCTATGAAACAAACAATCCTAATGAATAACAAGGGGCGGCTATGAGCGTGTGGTGGGAGGCTCTCCAGCACAAGTTCTACGAATATTAAGGGGGTCTCCATTTAGATCCATTTGTTAATTTGATTCTAATTAAACCATAGGTTGTATTTCTGATATATTGACATATGATTAATTGATTACGAGCTTGATAATAAGTTTAATTTTATTAAATTAATTATTATTAGTGCTAGTTATTGGTCAATATTCTCATGTATACATATACACGAGGCACGCATTGTGGAAACAATGAAAATTAGAGAGTTAATATATTATTTCATTTTAATATTCAATTGTAAATAAAGATGTTATTTCATTTTCATTTTATTATACTAATAGTCAAGTTGAACTATATCTCAATTCTTGAACAAGGCCTCCACGATTTTTTGTTGTTGAATACCACGATTTATTTGCTGACCCTGGAACATAACTTTTTTTTTATAGGGAAAAATGCATTTATTAATTAAGCAAGATAAGCAGAGTTTTCAATAGCATCCTCTCTAAGGAGAGGTACAAGTATCTGAGGTGGGCTAGTAACCCAAACCTCTTCACTATCCCAACTGCAATCCAGATGGGCCATCGCATGGGCCGGTCTATTGCCATTGCGGCCCACAAAGCTCCAGCGAACTTCACGAAACATCTGGGCTTTGATCCAGATCTCTTCACACATCAGCCCGATTTATGTTTCCCTTCTCTCTTCCTTTTCAGCTGTTGAACAACATCCAGACATTCAGATTCCACTTCCATTTCCCCAATTCCCCTTCGTCTCGCCATTTCCAAGCCGAAATCCACCGCCATCACCACTGCCTCCTCCGCGTTCCACTGTATCCGCGATCTTTTCACCGCTCCGAAAAGAAAATTACCAACCCCATCCCCGGCCACCATCCCCATCTCGTTCCTTGGCCGTCGAAAACCGCAGCATCGACATTATTCTTCACGGACCCAGTCATCGGAGGTTTCCATTTCTGCTCCGCCGTCCGCACCACTGGTTCGGACTTCATCTACTTCGCCAGGTAATCCTGCAGCCAGTCACTAGCTCGAGGTAGTATCTCCCATTCCTCTAATTTCTTCTTGTTCCACAGGTGACAGTTCCGCTGATCCTAGATGTACTAGAGGCCCACCAGAAAGGATCCGATCTGGTCGTCCGATTCTGTCTCCTGCAACTCACAAAACCATTCCTCCGAGGTAAGGTTTTCTCCTCTGTCTATGAATGAGCCTATTGTGCTATATCGCCAAACCCTTCGAACCCAAGCGCATTCCCGAAAGATGTGTTCTTGGGTTTCCACTAGCCCGCAAAAGGGGCAGTCATCACTTCCCTGTTGAGTACTTTTTAGGATTCGAGACTTTGTAGGGATGATGTTGGGCAGCCATCGCCAAGTGAAAACCTTCACTTTCGGATCTGTAGTTTCCAGACATTCTTCGAGTTTACTGGCGAGTAAAGCTCGCCCTCCTGCTCCATATTCCTTTCTTCCCACAATCTTTAGGCAGACTTCACTGAGTACTCCCCCGTTTTTTCTTTTCCCTAGATCCTCTTATCCTTAGCAGGTTGTCTAGGGATTGGGATCTTAAGAATGTTAGAACAGTCTGTGGGATTAAAATTGTTTGAATGAGGTCCAATTTTCAGCTTTTGCTTTCTGTATCAATCAATTCTGCCACTGAAGTCGACTGTTCCCAAATGACTGTAGGGGAAGTCACTTTATGAGTGGTGCTTGAGGGTATCCACTTATCAATCCATATATCTATTTTCTCCCCATTTCCAACTCTCCACCTTGCTCCTTTTTCACTAAATCCTTAGCCTCCATCAGACCTCGCCATACCCAACTGGGATTACTACCCATTTCAGCCTCCAGGGGATCACCTCCCTCAAAGTATTTGGCCTTCATTACCCGAGCCACAAGTGAATCAGGAAATTGGACTAGCCTCCATAATTGTTTGCCCAACAGGGCAAGATTGAAGCTCCTTAGGTCTTTAAATCCCAACCCCCTTGTTTTTTTGGTCTGCAGAGCTCCTTCCAACTTAGCCAATGGGTTCTGCTTTCTTCTTGCTGCTGTCCCCACCAAAATTGAGCCATTGCACTTTTTGCTTCCTTTAGAATACTGGTAGGAAGTTGAAACACTTACATTGCATATGTCAATTGAGCTTGGGCTACTGATTTGATCAGTACCTCTTTCCCTGCCACCGAAAGGAGTTTCTCCTTCCATGTTTTCACCTTAGCTCTGACTCTATCGACTAAATAGCCAAAAGCTTGTTTCTTCGACCTTCCTATGAGGGTAGGAAGCCCCAAGTATTTTTGATGTTGATCAACCACTCTCATACTTAACCTTCTCGCCAACTCTTCACGTAGTTCTATTCTGACCTTGGGGCTGGAGGATAGTTCTAACTTAAGAAGATTCACTTGTTGTCCTGATTCCCCTTCATATAACCGAGAATGGATTTCAGCTTTTCTCCTTGAGACTTTGTAGCCCTAGTAAAAAGTATACTATCATCCGCAAATAGTAGATGAGTAATCTGGGGCACATTCCTTCTCACTCTAATTCCTTCAATTTGCCCTTCCTGTTCAGCTTTGGAGATCAAAGCCGAGATTCCTTCTACCACAAATAGGAATAGATATGGAGAGATTGGATCTCCCTACCTTAGACCCCCACTGGGAAAGAAAGTTTCAGTTTGGTGGCCATTCACCAACGTAGAAAAGGATACCGATTTGACGCACCACATAATCATTTGTACCCATCTGTTATCAAATCCTAGTTTTAGAATTATGGCTTCGAGATAGTCCCACTCCACCCTATCATAGGCTTTGGTGATATCCAGCTTAGCAGCCATAAAACCTTTTTTACTTGACTTCTTCTCCTTCATTGTGTGAAAGCACTCGAAGGCTATCATCACGTTATCTGTTATCAACCTTCCTGGTATAAATGCGCTCTGATTTGGGACAATTACTTCATTGAGAACCCCTTTCAACCTATTAGCCAGTACTTTTGAGAAGATTTTATAAAGTACCTTACATAAGCTAATAGGACGAAATCCACAGGAGTTTGAGGGTGTTTCTTCTTGGGGATTAGGGCTATCAGAGTGTGATTTACCTCCTATGGAAAGCGGCCCTCCTCAAAAATCCCTGCAATTAAGTAGTTATAGCGTCACCCATCACATCCCAGTTTCTCTGAAAGAAGAGAGCTGGCATTCCATCCGCTCAAGGGGCCTTTAATGGACCCATTCCCATCAGTGCAACCCAAATTTCTTCTCTTATAAGAGGCTTTAGAAGTTCTTCATTCATATTAGGGGTGACCTTCTGTGAAACAGCCTCTACAATTACACTAGAACCCGATCTGGACCCAGTAGTATACAGTTTCTTGAAGAAACTTACTATACAGATAGCCACATCCTCCTGCCCCACACAAACTCTACCATTCTCATCTTTTAATTTTCTAATCATGTTCTTTGCTCTCCTATCCGAGGCTCTTCTATGGAAGAACTTGGTATTCTTATCATCATGCTTCAACCATTCATTCCTGGATCTCTGTTTCCAGAGTAGCTCATCCTGAATTAGGATATCTTCCAATTCACTCTCAAGTTTTCTCCTTTGGGCTACAATAGCCTCGGTTTTGACCATTCGATCAATTTTCTCCAAAGCTTTCTCTGTTCTAATGCGTCTTGATCGCAGACTACGAAAAGTCTGTTTACTCCAACTTCTGAGCTTTTCTTCACAAACCTTTATCCTTCCCATCACTGAGCCAGCCCCATTTGACTCCCATCCACCTTTAATAATCTGCTTACAATCGTCATGATCCTGCCAAAAGGCTTCGAATTTGAAATAGCTCCCCCATCTCACATCTTCCACCAGAACATTCGTTTTCAGCAAGATGGGGTTGTGATCAGAACCACATCTCCTCAGATGATACACTCCCGCTTCAGGGTATAGTTTTCTCCATTCATCAGTAGCTAACATTCTGTCCAGTCTTTCCTCTAGATAGGTGTCATCTTTATGGTTATTTCCCAGGTAAAAGGTTTCCCATAGAAACCTAGATCCTCGAGCTGACAGTCAGCTAGAGCTCTGCTGAAACCCTCCATTTGATAGCCATTAGCGGGTTTCTTCCCCTTTTTTTCAGTTAAAATCCACACAACACAGCCAAGGCAAATCTTTTAGGGATTTTAGGTATCGAATCAGTTCCCATGTCTTATGTTTCCTCCCCTGTTCAGGCCAGCCATAGATGCCTGTCAGTCTCAACCATCATATCAATATAGTTGTCATCAAAACCTTTGATTTCCACCTTTACTTCCTCTTGCCATAAAACCAACAATCCACCAGCCCTTCTCTTAGAGCTCACACCAAAACTTTTATATCCTGTAATACACCGAACTACTTCCTCCCACTCCTTGTCCTGCTTTTTGGTCTCCATGACAATGACCACCTTGGGGTTTTCCTTCTGGATCAAACGATCCAATTTCTTAACTACCAGGGAACTCCCCAAACCCCGACAGTCAACGCAGTCAAAATCTAGATTTTAAGTAAAATCGAAAACTGAGGTAGAATCGAAATCGTAGATTAAAATCGTAAAATTGTAAGATTTTAAGGTTCATATTACAATAAATACTTAAAACACTAGATAGTAATAAAAATGCATATCTTGAATAACAATCAACCACATAAAACATAATTACTTCTCAAGATAAGTTTGTTTGCTAAACAAACACAACTAATCCATATATTTTTCTTGTACATAATAGAAACACACAAATAAGAAACCTGAAACATTATAGATATGATGACTGTTAATGAATTGTTAAGAGTAGCAAATCACATAAGATCGTTAGGATCAACATTAACATCACTTACACATCATCGTCATCATCCTCAACCTCAACCTCACCCTCACTCTCATTGTTTTTATTTGTTTAAGGACTAATATCATTACTCTTATGATCACTTGAAGTACTTTCACCATTAACCATATTTCCTTGATTACCATTATCTGGAAAAGATAACTCATTGATTGATGCATTCCCTTCTTAATTGATAAAAGGTCGGGTTAGTGGTGCTGAAGGATTGGGAGATGAACAAAAGCTTGCAATGTAATGGAGATTTGGATTATTGTGAGGGTGGTGGGAACAAACTACAAGCTAATTGGGAGGGTGGAAGATATCGTTTATGGAAGGAGTTTGGCGCCGACGTGCGAAAGAGGAAGATACGAGGAAGAGAATGAAAATAAATTGAGGGTTAACTATCAGGTTGGGGTTGTGTTGTTCATTATGTTGGGTTGGGAAAGTAAATTTGACTCGGTTCATGGGCATAACCCAACTTGACCGGCCTAATTTTGATCCAATTGATATGAACCTTGAAATCGTACAAAATCGTAGAAATCGTAGATTTTATGGACTTTAGAGTTTTAAATTGGGATCTTATGGGATTTTAAGGTTCAAAGATTTTATAGTAAAATCAGGATCGGAACCCATAGGTAAGATAGTAAAATCGTAAGATTTTAAGATTAAAATCGGGATTTTGACTACATTGTATATATATATACCCTAACTCCGGGGTACCGCATACCTTGAGTAAGAAAACGCTATCTAAAACTTGAATTGACTAATCTTTCGGACATGATACTATACTCTAACCCTTAAAGATCAACATCTAGGTCTCAATTCTCTAAATCTTATGCCCCAAGATCAATTTAATTAGAAACAATAATCGACGGTTATTATTCGTCCAAATATAGGCAAAAAATCAATGCACCATCTTAGGGTTTATAGTTTATAATTTAGATAATTAGGACCTAGGGTTCACTCATTAAGAGTTAGGGTATAGTATCATGCCCAAAAATCCTGCTAATTCGAGGCCTAGATATTGTTTTCATACTTAAGGTATGCGGTACCGTGGATTTCACCGGGGGTACCGTAGAAGGCACCATATGTATATATATATATTTTATTATCAAACCTCTTTTGTGCAAATAATTAGAGTGGCTCAAGATGGAATATACTATGAGTGCTGGACTAAGAAATCAAATCATAAAAGTTAAATAAGTATATTTATTTTCTAGTAAAATTAAATTTATCGATACAATTATAACGAAAATATGCATGGTATCATAGAATGAATGGAGCTTGGATGCAAGAACATATCTACCTGAAGATAAACTTGATAAACAAGGTCGTTGTAAATCCAAGGTTTGGGTTGAGGGTCATTTACGAACGGCACAAACTCGTAACTCACTTCATACGGTAGCAGATGAATTGCTACTTTGAACACATCTACGCAGAAGCCGCTCACATCGATTGTCCAATTCTGCCCAACTTGCACCTTGAAAAGCTCATCAAACCCTGCCTGGAGCGGCACGCCAACTCTCAGCTTCTTAGGTATCACCCCACTTTGTGACGCATTATAACTTGAGTAGTTCGAATGATTTCTCACTATATTTTCGTCATTGGCCTCCTCATTAAGGGAACGACGTCTACTTCTACTCGGTCGATAGATCACTCTGTTCCCGACACCGGAAAATTCCCCAATTGGTGCTGCAAAATTCTCGAGATCACCAAAATAGGATGAATGTGATTCCGCAGCTGTTCTGCTTGCCTTCTCTGCTGCAGAGGCAAGATCCCAGATAATACACTTAGCGATTCCTTCTTTGACTTGTGGCCGAGAGGAGATGGAAATTACAGGGATTCCGAATTTTTCGTCAAATAACTTGGCTAGGTATTCTAATTCTAGGCTCCTTCGTGGTCCGATTGAAATGATTCCTCTGAGTTCGGGGGACTTGTTCAGAAGATCATCCGCTGTTAAAGAGAGGAAGAGTCGATCATGTGTTAGTTCTTCTAAATTTTGAGTTCATTAAGACATTAACTATCAAAATCCACTCATTGATACGATAAAAAGAAATAAATAAAAAATCCACTCATTGATTCATTGATCTATCCCCCCTTATGAAGTGGTAGACCCATGACCATTTAAGGTTTTTCGTGACATTTGTAAAATTTCATAAAAATTATGTCAATCTTTGGATAATAGTTTTGTTTTTCAATTTGAGATATTTATACTAATTGAAAAATATTATCTACTACACAATAAGTCATTTTTTATAGTTAGTGTGATATTTTTTTTTTTGTTTTATATTTACATTTTAACAAAACCCCCTCAATATAATTTTCGAGTCCGACACTGCGCCGTTACCCCCTCACCATTGTCCTCATGCTATAATAATAATAAAACAAAACAATGTGGATATTCAACCGAGATTTCAGTTCTGAATCATAATTCAGGAATATAATGTATTAATTTAAGATTGCGAGGAGAATGAAAAAGTGAAAGAAAGAGAAACTTACTCACCAGAGGAAAGAGCTTGGAGATGGTTTCTTGTAGAATTTATGAAGCGAAGAAGTAGCCTGGTGTTGAAGTGAGAATGGAGAGCATAGAAATCAGAAACAGCCATGGACATGGTGCGTTGGAGCATCTCCCCTTCCCACGACGTTCCCATTTCCATAATCACTCCCACTTCTACATTATCCACAGGAGGAACCCAACAGTATGCTGGCTGGAGAAGAAGAAGAAATGGTAAGATATTGAAGAAGAGCAAGAAGAGTTGTTGGAAGAGCAAGGGCCTCGGCTTCCTTCTCTCATTCATTTTGATCGAATACTGCATCCTCAGTTCTCTCTCTCTCTCTCTCTCTCTCTCTCTCTCTCTCTCTCTCTCTCTCTCTCTCTCTCTCTCTCTCTCTCTCTCTCTCTCTCTCTCAAGTAAAGGCTATATCAGATCAAGTGAGGCAATTTATTTGAGTGGAAAGATATGTGTTCCTGAAAATCATTATGTTTTTTTTTTAAAGGTTGGAATGAATATATTCGGACTCTACTTTTTAACGTATACTAACAAAAGTTCGATCGCTATCGCTTCGCGTATCATAAATATAAATATTTTAAAAAATAATAGTTTTATATTTACCCAAAAATAAAAGTAATCTTATTTCATTCTAAATCATTCTTTTCATAGGTTTGTCTTTGACAATAGTATATGGTCGATGAACTTGCATAAGGTAGAAGGGTCGTCGACTAGATTATTTATTTTTAAACTTCTTTCATGACGCTAAAGTTTTAATTTGTATGACTTGCTTTTTTTTGGGCTTGAGGTAATCGTGGTTCTCCTTTATGAAAATTTAGGACTAATTGCAAGTTTGAGAAGGTTCAACTCACATTGATCGGGTTCAATTAGGTTGGATACCCATGGATTTGGGTTCAATTGTCTTTCTCAAACAAAAGAAAAAAAGCGGGTGTTTGGTCCTAGTGGCCGTTCTTCCCCTCACAAACAAACAAAAGCGAAATGAAAAACACTAAAGCTAAAACTCGCTACCGACTCAAAACTCGTCAAAACCCGATTCAACTCGCTTTGACCTGGTTGGACCTAGTTTTGGACAAATTCACACCTGACACAACACAGCAATTGCAAAAATAAATAAAATTCGCTCCCGCCTAAAACCTGTAAAATCGGGTTCAAGTCACTTTGGTCGGGTCGAATTAGATTGTGTACCCATGCGTGTGGACTCAATTGTCATTCTCAAACAAAAGGAAAAAGATAAAAAAAACTAAAGCGGATAAAACTCGCTCATGACCCCAAACACTCAACACTGTGTTCAACTCGCTTTAAATAAGTCGACTCATTTTTAAAAAATTCACAATTTATCCAACCTGTCAATTACAAAAGCGGATAAAACTCGTTCTCGATACGAAAGGCGTCAACGATGGGTCATAGTTCAATTGTCATTCTCAACGAAAATGAAAAAGAGAAATAAATAAAATTAAAGTGTACAAAACTCGCTTTTGATCTAAAACTGGTCAACAACGTGTTCAACATGCATTGAACAATTTTTTAACAAATTAACACTTGGTCCAGCCTGCCAACTACAAAAGCGGATAAAGCTCGCTCACAATACAACACTCGTCAAAATCTTAGATTCGGGTTCAATTGTCTTCCCAACCAAAAGAAGAAGAAACACTAAAGAGGATGAAACTCGGTCCTTATACAAAACTCGTGGTAGCGGCCTTGGTAAACGGTGGTGGGGAACAACTTAGGATTCCGCCGACAGTATTTCGAGATGGGTTACAAAATGGTGGGTAAAGGCAATGATTTGTGCAAAAAAGTTAAAGCATAAGAACTTGCTTTCGATCTAAAACTGTTCAACAACGTGTTCAACTTGCTTTGAACAATTTTTTAACAAATTAACACTTGGTCCAGCCTGCCAACTACAAAAGTAGATAAAGCTCGCTCACAATACAACACTCGTCAAAATCTTAGATTCGGGTTCAATTGTCTTCCCAACCAAAAGAAGCAGAAACACTAAAGAGGATGAAACTCGGTCCCGATACAATACTCGTGGTAGCAGCCTTGTGAAACGGTGGTGGTGAACAACTTGGGATTCCCCCAACAGTATTTCGAGATGGGCTAAAAAATGGTGGGCAATGGCGTTGATTTTTGCAAAAACCATAGATGAAAACCTAGCGAACAATAACTAAACATAAACACAAATGCGGTGATTTCTGAAAAAAATCATAGACGAAAACCTCACGAAAAAAAACAAAACACAAGGGCGATGATTTGTGCAAAAAGCCATAGACGAAAACCTAGCAAACAATAACTAAACACAAAGGTTGTAGAATGAAGAGTGGGGTAAAAGGACTTGGAACTTCCTCACTTGCACTTAGAGAAGTGTGAGAGCCACTAATGAATAGTTACTGACAACCTAAAAAAAGAAAGAGAAAACACTAAAGAGGATGAAAGTCGGTCCCTATAAAAAACTCGTGTTAGCGACCTTGGGAAATGGTGGTGGGGAAAACTTAGGATTCCGGCGACAATATTTCAAGATGAGCTGTAAAATGGTGGGCAAAAGCGATGATTTGTGCAAAAAGTCAGAAGAAAACCTAGTGAGCAATAACAAAACACAAAGGCGATGATTAGTGCAAAAATACATAGACGAAATCCTAGAGAACAATATCTAAACACAAAGGTTGTAGAATGGAGAGTGGGATAAAAGAAGGGCTTGGAACTTGGAGGAGTGTGAGATGAGCTGCAAAATGGTGGGCAAAGGCGACGATTTGTGCAAAAAGTCATACATGAAAACCTAGTGAACAATAACAAAACACAAAGGCGATTAGTGCAAAAATACATAGACGAAAATCTAACGAAAAATAAATAAACACAAAGGTTGTAGAATGGAGAGGAGGGTAAAAAAGGATTGGAACTTCCCCACTTTCACTTAGGGGAGTGTGAGAGACACTAATGAATAGTAACTCACAACCTAGGCTTTTATATATTATTATTAATATTATTAAATGCTTAAAATTTTAAGTTCCCTATAGTGGATTTCTGGTTTGTTTTCTTCCTGACTTTTCAAATACTTATAATTGAGTGATATATACATCAAAGAAAAAGAAAATATATGTACAAAGGAGAAGAATACCATGTCTCCAAAGGATTCGAAACCTAAAAAATTTCCCGAGTGGAGTATGCTTTGGCTTGACTATCTAGACTTTATTAGTTATATTTATGTCACAATTGTCAAATCGATTTATATCGTCCTGCCAGTTTAACAAGTGGTACAATCAGTTTATACTTGGTTTAGCAAAATATGTAAGAAAATGGGAAATCATTAACACTAAATAAATTTATGCATGTATATAACATATTTGAAAACAATCTCCGTAATATCTACATAAATGCTTAAAATTTTAAATAAATACTACATTTCAAAAAGATTTCAAAAAGAAATAAAAACCATCATATTTAAGTACAAAATTTAATGCCAAAATTCAAAATTTTATAATTGAATCCAACAAATAACATAGACGTCATAGACAAAAACCTAGCAAACAATAACTAAACACAAATGCGATGATAACACAAAGGCAATGATTTGTGCAAAAAAGCCATAGACGAAAACCTAGCGAACAATAATTAAACACAAAGGTTGGAGAATGGAGAGTGAGGTAAAAGGAGTTGAAACTTCTCCACTTGCACTTGGAGGAGTGTGAGAGCCACTAATGAATAGTAACTCAAACCTAGGATTTTATATAGTAATATATGTTTAAAATTTTAAATAAATACTACGTTTCAAAAAGATTTCAAAAAGAAATGAAAACCATCATATTCAAGTACAAGGTTTAACGCCAAAATATCAAATTTTATAATTGAATCCAACAAATAACATAGACATCCAAATATTCATGTTTTTGACGTCATAGACGAAAACCTAGCGAACAATAATTAAACACAAAGGCAATGATAACACAATGGCGATGATTTGTGCAAAAAGCCATAGGCAACCTAGCGAACAATAATTAAACACAAAGGTTGTAGAATGGAGAATGGGGTAAAAGAAGGATTTGAAACTTTTCCTCTTGCACTTGGAGGAGTGTGAGAGCCACTAATAAATAGTAACTCAAACCTAGGCTTTTATATAGTAATTATTATTATTATTAATTATTATTAAATGATTAAAATTTTGAGTTCGCTATAGTGGATTTCTGGTTTGTTTTCTTCCTGACTTTTCAAATATTTATAATTGAGTGATATATACATCAAAGAAAAAGAAAATATATCTACAAAGGAGAAGAATACCATGTCTCCAAAGGATTCGAAACCTAAAAAATTTCCCTAGTGGATTATGCTTTGGCTCGACTATCTAGACTTTACTAGTTATATTTATGTCTTAATTGTCAAATCGATTTATATCGTCCTGCCAGTTTAACAAGTGGTACAATCAATTTATACTTGGTTTAGCAAAATATGTAGGAAAATGGAAAATCATTAACACTAAATAAATTTATGCATGTATATAACATATTTGAAAACAATCTCCGTAATATCTACATAAATGCTTAAAATTTTAAATAAATACTACATTTCAAAATGATTTCAAAAAGAAATGAAAACCATCATATTTAAGTACAATGTTTAACGCCAAAATTCAAAATTATATAATTGAATCCAACAATTAATATAGACATCTAAATATTCATACTTGAATCCAACAAATAACATTCAATTTTAAGTTTCAAATTCAACAAAGGGCTAATACCACTACAACACCCGAACTATGACAAAAATGCCACTTGTGTCATATTATTTCAAATATTCCATTTGTGCCCTGAACTATTTTTCCGTTAAAGTTGACCGGCGTTGACCGTTAGTTTTTAACAGAAATTATAGTTAGCACTGATGTGGCAGATGACATGGAATTTTAAATTCAATTTAATTTAATAACATTAAAAAAAACTCCGGACCACTTCCGACCTCACCCTCCTCCCACATTCTCTCTCCCTCCCTGCTCACCAGTCACCTCCGCCTCCCAACTCGTCGACTCCGCGAAGTCGCCACCATCTCCCATTACTTCGCTCTCCTCTTCGAACCCAAAAATGCGGCGGGTTTCCATCCGGCTCCCTCGCCACCGCGCGCTCCAATCACCCCTCTCATTCGACAAAAACCCCTGC